TGAAGAGGGCCTTTCTCCAATTTTTTTAAAAGTATATTGGACTGGATCATCATTTTACATAAATCGAAATTAAACTGAAACTGCTCATCTTTTGTGGAAGTAGATGCAACAGATTCATGTATGGTCTGCTGTTTAATTTTAGAAACGTCAAACATTTTCTTCCTTTCTATACATGAAGAGTCGTTCTGACATGTTGCGTCACGTTATATTTTTTATCACTTTGAATCTAAAGCAACGTACATATACAGGATTAACAAAGGAAAATAGATAAAAAAAAATTAGTGGGCTTACGGTTTTCACACAAGCTCTGCAGAATATTTTGTTGTTTTCTAATTTTAATTCTGGAAAATCCCTTATCCACTCATCCGGCGTCGATTTTTCTTTCGGCATTCTTTTAAAATATTAGTAATATTACCAAAAAGAACTCAACATGTAACAAGGGAGAACCACGTATAACATTGTACTACGACAGATGCGATAGACTGATGGTTGTGAAATAAACAGTTCATTTACTTAAAAGTTTCCATTAGAAAAATTTTAAGGTAGGTAGTTGGGTACAATAATCATCTTTTCTGGAAAATGTGAGAATGCGCTCGCCTTTATTGTTATAAAGACGAGCTAAGATAAGACTGATTTTGGCAAATCACATACCTTCCAAGAAAATAGAGGGTGGGTGGGTGGGGCTAGTACTTGCTATGACAAGACTTATTTCGGCAAATGACATATCTTCTGAGAAAATCGGGGGCTGGTGGGCGGGCCAAGATAAAACTGATTTTGTCTCTATTAATTTTGTAAAAACTTGTGAAATTTAGAGGTGTCATATTACAAATTTCCATAGTAACGAATTAAATTCCTAAATCTTCCCGAAATATGCAAAATATCATGAGTTTTTACTTGTGTGTTATCATTGCATTCATATTTTTTAGATTTGCTTGTACAAGTGAAAAAAAGTAATGGATGTTCAATTTATTTTATTGATTACGTCAGGAACGGCTCACTCCATTTTTCAGATATTTCGAAGTACACAAAATGACTAGAATTTCCACATTTTTCAAAATTTCTAAAATTATCAGGCTCCAGTTATACCAGAATTTTTAATTTTAACCTTTTCCAATATTTTCAAAATTTCTGGGTCTACCATATTTTTCCCACACTTTCTCAATTTTTTCAGATTTTCTAAAATCTCAGGAGTCTAAAACTAAAATTTTTGGAATATCTGAAATCTTTAGAATCTGTGAGATGTATAGGATAATAATTAGGGTGTTTAAGACCCCCTAATTCTTGTAGGATTGATAAAAATTAAAGGAAGCATTCTTAAGATTTGTACGATTTTTAGATATTTAGGATTTTTGTTTTGTTTAGACTCTTTGGAATCTTTAAAATTTTTGTCATGTTCAGAGTTCATGCGTTTTTTACAAATTATAGAATTTTTGACATATTTGGAACAGAATTTTAAAAACCTTTTTAACGTTTGAGTCCTTAGAGTATTTAGAATCTTTAGAGTTTTCAGAGTCCTTAGAGTCTTAACAATCTTTGGTAATTTTGGATACTTCAGAAATTTTATAAAGTTTAGAATTTTTATAATTTCTAGGAACATTAATACTTCCAAGATCTTTACAATTTTTAAGATTTTGTTGCATGTTTCTTCTATTTAGAACCTAAAACTGTAACTTATTTAGCATTTTTGGTGCCTTTACTATTATTCTAGTAATCTAGTGTATGAAAACTTTAGAATTTTTGAAAAGTTGAAACCTTTTAAATATTTCAAATATTTGGAAAAATTTGGGAATTTTTAGAATATCTACAATCTTAATAAGAGTGTAAACTTTTGAAATTTTGAGATTCAATATTTTTTTATTTTCTTTTAATTTTTGAGAATTTTCGTAATTTGCAAAATTTTTGAAATTTCCAGAATGTTCAGATTTTCCAAATCGGCCCAAGTTTTCAGATTTTTCGAAGTAGGTACTCAAAATGACCAGAATTTCCACATTTTCCAAAATTTCTAAAATTATTATCAGGCTTCAGTTATACAAGAATTTTGAAATTCAACCTTTTCCAATATTTTGAAGATTTTTAGGTCCATCACATTTTTCCCACACTTTCTAAATTTTTTCAGATTTTCTAAAATTTATAGATCTCAAGAGTCTAAATCTTTGGAGTTTTTGGAATCTCTGAAATCTTTACGGTCTCCAAGATTTATAAAATAATAATTGGGGTGTTCAAGACCTTCAGTGCTTTTAGGATTTATAAAAATTAAAGAAAGCATTTTTCCGATCTTTACGATTTTTAGGTCTTTAAGATTTTTGTTTTCTTTAAAGTCTTTGGAATTTTTAAAACCTTTGGTATTTTAAGAATTCACGCGATTTTTACAAGTTTTAGAATCTTTGGCCTTTTGGAATTTCTCTAGAACCTTTAGAATCTTTCAAGTATTCGAAACAGAATTTTAGCTGTTGACCCCTTAGAGTCCTTTAAGTCTTTAGACCCTTTAGAGACTTTCCAATCTATGGAAATTTTGAACCTTTGGGAATTACTAGGAGTTTCATAAAGTTTAAAATTTTTGCAATTTCTAGGATCATTAGTACCCTTAGGTTCTTTAAATTTTTTAAGATTTGGTTGGATCTTTTTTATATTTGGAACATTAGAACTTTAGTTTATTTAGAATCTTAAGTGTCTTTACAATTCGCAGTTTCTACTGTATGTAATCCGTGAAAACTTTTATACTTTTTGAATCTTTCAAACCACTTTGGAATCTTTAGAATCTCAAGAATCTAGAATCACTAGAATTTCTATAATTTTTAGAGCTTTAAGATTTTTATTATTTTTAGATACTTAGATCTTTAGGATTTTTATCATCCAGTTTTTAAATATTTGGAATCTGTGGAATTTTCGGAATTTTTGGAATCCCTGAAATCTCTTTAGAATTTTGAAATTGCCGGCTTCTTTAGTTTTTTTTAATTTTTTGAAATTCCTGAAATCCTTGTAGTCCTTAGAGTTTTTGGCATCCTTGAAAGCCTTAAAACCTTTGAAAGGGTTAGAATATTTGGGACTTTCACATTTGGAATCTTTCCAGAAATTCGGTCAGAATTATAGAACGTCTGTAACTTCTAGAATTAACATTGTACATATTTTACATTTATTCGACAAAATTGTAAGATGACGTCATCGATTTGTGTCAGACAAATTTTCGTTATAGTTTTGGTCCCAACTGTCTTTTTTAAAAATGTAAAACCCTCTCGGGGGCCCCAAATGTATTTTTTTTTTTAATGTAAAACCTCGGGGCTCTCAAATGTATTTTTTTTTTAATATGATACTTTCTCGGGGGCCCAACTGTCTTTTTTAACAATGTAAAACCGTTTCGGGGGTCTCAAATGTATTTTTTTTTTTAATGTGAAACCTTCTCGGGGGCCCCAACTTTCTTTTTTAATATTGTAAAACCTTTTCGGGGGTCTCAAATGTATTTTTGTTTTAAATGTGAAACCTTCTCGGGGGCCCCAACTGTCTTTTTTAACAATGTAAAACCTTTTCGGGGGTCTCAAATGTTTTTTTTTTTTTTTAAATGTGAAACCTTCTCGGGGGCCCCAAGTTTCTTTTTTAATATTGTAAAACCTTCTCGGGGGCGCCAGATATATATATTTTTTTTAATTTGAAACCTTCTCAGGGGTCCCAACTGACTTTTTTTAACAATGTAAAACCTTTTCGGGGGTCTCAAATGTTTTTTTTTTTTTAAATGTGAAATCTTCTCGGGGGCCCCAACTTTCTTTTTTAATATTGTAAAACCTTCTCGGAGGCGCCAGATGTATATATTTTTTTTAATTTGAAACCTTCTCGGGGGTCCCAATAGTTTTTTTTGATAATGTGAAACTTTCTCGGGGGCCCAAAAGTATTTTTTTTTTAATGTGACACCTTATCGGGGGTTCCAACTGTCTTCGTATTTTACAGTAAATAAAATTATAAATCAGTCAAAGAGAGAGGGGGTGGGCGGAGCCAAGTTTATCTTTTTTCTAATAGTTTTACGAGTAAGAAATAGCCCCGCCCACCCACCCCTCTCTTGATTGTAGTGTTTACTCTTAATATTGTTAATTAATATTTTCGTAATTTATCATTGCATTCATATTTTTTGGATTTGCTTTTACAGTGACTCAAAAATTTATTTTAGTGAATAACTCAAGAGTTGCAGAAATGAATACTTTGAGATTTTGCAGACGTTTTAAAGTTATTGTAAGCATGGTAAATTGTTAAGAATATTTATTTATTGCCCCCAAAAAATTGATGGAATGGCTCACTCGATTTTCGCAGATAATTTTGGGAATACAATACAGTTATTTTTAGCATTACACTGCACCAATCCAAGGTGGTATACGTGTTGATCGTAAATGTTGATTAGGTCATCACAAAATTGTGTGAAGAAAAGACTCAACTCGAAAATGCTGAATATGTTTCATTATACTTTTGGTGCGATGAAAGTTCTGTCGAAACAAAGTTGGATCAATTTTTGGACCATGGTTGATAATAAATAATAAATAAAACAAAGAACGATTTGAAATGCAATATACTTTTCACAATCGCACGGAAGAAATAGTTTTGTATGACACGTCAGTTAGACGACAGGTCCGTCAGGAACGCCAACTATTGAAATTAATTCGAAGTGGCGATTCCCATACAAAATTTTTTGAATTTTTTTTTAGACGTATTCAGGCAATTTTTAAAATTTTTCTCTCCGTAAGAACCATCGTCGTACTTCAACGAATATTTGAAAACAAAAATTAGCCGAATCGGTTGAGTCGTTCTCGAGTTATGCGCTTAGCAACACATTTGATAATCCATTTTTATTATATAGAAGATAAGTCTGCTAATAGATTTATATAGATAATAAGTACTTTATAATACTCAGTGTAATACTAAAAGCTGACTGATGTATTGTTAAAAATAATCGAACGTACTTTTTGAACGCGTTGTTAAGAAAACGATCTCTTGTCGATATCGCTTTTATTAGTGTTTAAACTGTGGCCGGTAAAGAATACAAGGAAGTATTTCGATTCCTTCGACGATGGAGAGGGAAGACTACTTCCGGAGTACTATCAAGAAAACACGCCTCTATCTTCTACGAGTATGCGTATTTTAGGACTAGTTTTGAGAGGGTAAGTGGATTTTGTGTTTGGTGGTGTACACTGCAAGATATAATCAGTTATCGTTAGTTTATCCACACTATAGAGATCATTCAGTAGGAACAACTCGCTATTTTTAGTGACTCGTTTCATGCGTGCTGACTTGTAGTTTATCTCGTGAACGTATTAGGGCGCGCAGCGCAAAGTACTTCTCTTTCTTACACATTGGAATTAGAGACTTATTGGAACATTGAATTGCGGTACTTTGGTTATCTTGAATTGCGGTACTTTGGTTATCTATATAGACTTTAGTCTGAAAGATTAGAAATTTGGCATTGGTTTTGATGCTAATCCATAGTAATCTTCCGGTGGAATTAATAAAAAACATTCGTGTTGTTTGATGGGACCATTGTTTACTGTTGATGACAGTTTTTTTGTAAAAAAATAAAAATAGAGATTAGCATTTTTTAATAACGTTGAATTTTACAGCCATCAAGACATGGAAAATAAATTAATAAAACTAAAAAAATTAAAATAATAGACTGTGTTTTTCTAAGATCAACTACAAAATGTTATTGTTATTACACTATTTTTAATTCTTTACAAAAAATTCATCTGCACAAAGTGTAGTAAATTGTGTATACGAATCAATTTTTAAATTTTCAAAAAGATCTGCAACTTGTCACGAAAAATATAAAGGAAATGACAACATAAATTAAAAAAAACCATCGCTTTTGAAGTGTGCATGTTGCGCTACTGATTGAAAGTTAATTGTCAGATTGTGATGACTCACCATGTTGAACTTAAAATGAACCATGTCTACTTGACTACGATAATTGTGTTTTCTTTTTGAAAATAGCGACTCAATTATTCCTAAGTTAGATATATAACGATGTACAATCTATATATATATATAAATCAATTGCTGTTCGTTAGTCTCGCTAAAACTCGAGAACGGCTGAACGGATTTATCTTATCTTGGTTTTGAAATGTCCGTGGAGGCCTAGGGACGGTTTAAAAGGTGAGAAAAATTCGAATAATTGCCGGTAAAACCCTAAAAACAGCACTTTTCTTCTTGACAACCAAGTGACAATCTTTTATTTCTAAAAAGACAAAAGACATCAAATGTTTCACAGCTCAGAACATGTTGTATTGGAAAATAGAATTTCTGTATTTAGTATTTTTGTTTCTCACCGTTTAAACCTTCTCTGAATTTCCATAAATATTTCAAGACCAAACTCTCAGCTAAAAGATAAAAAAATTCTAAAAATTTTGCATGGGAATCGCCACTTCGAATTAATTTGAATAGTTGGCGTTCCTGACGGACCTGTCGTCTAACTGACGTGTCATACAAAACTAATTCTTCCGTGCGATTGTGAAAATTATACAGGGTTATCATAAATGATTGTAGTCGAAGTAGGCGCTTCTTACTTTCAAAAAATTATTAATTATAGTCCACTAAAGTTATGGGGAATTTTTGTTTTGCTTTGCTGTCTGAAGAATGTCATATTTAGGGATGGGGAACTGTTACTTTTTTGAGGAACAGGAACAATTTGTTACTGTTCCATTTTAGGAACAGTTCCAAATGACAGTGATTCTGGAACAATTCGTTATTGGGTTTCCTAGGAAGAACACTTTCATCCCGTATACCTACTATGGGCTTCTGCTACAGATAAAATTGTTATTTGTTCTTTAATTATATGAAAATTTAATAATTTTTATTTATTACCAACGTAGCCTGTAAGAGAAAATTGACGTTCCTATATGTTGTTTTTTGTTGCTGTTATCTAATTTCTTAGTTTACTGTTTTATTGGAAAAAAAAACAAAATTAAAAAATATATTAAATCTTGAATATATAAATTATTGTATCACTGCATCCAAATACAACAGTGCCTTTATTAAATAAAATTCTTTATTCCAAATAATTCTCTATTTTTTACCTTTCTGCTTATATGTATTATTATTTATTGTATTATTATATTATATGTTTATTTTATTCAAATATGAATAAACTTTTTATTTTTAATTTGCAGTTTGTGTTGATTTATAATTTTTTATTAATTAACTGTTCAAATTTAATTATTTCACAAAATCGCCAAAAACGATATTCACTTGTTCCCGTTCGCGATATTTCGGCACCCATCGTTACGTTTCGCTTTCGCAGCGGATTTAATTTCCAACCCGTATAAACGTTATTATTCTCTATTAATCTGTTCTTGTTTCGGTTCCAACATCGCAAATCGCTAGTTTCACTTATAAAACCAGTTTTGCGGACTTACATTTTAAAGGAACAGATTTATCCCGAATAACTGTTATTTTGAATATTCGGTAACAACTTGTTCCTGTTCCACGTTGGTAACTAGGGAGGGTATTCTATGTTGGTAACAGTTCCGAAATACCTGTTCCGTCAAATACTCCCCACCCCTAGGTGAGGGTATTTTATACTGTGTTGTTGGCTGTGGTAGTTGGTTTGAGAAGTTGGTAGTTGCTAGTTGCAAGAGCACGTGTATTTAAACATAACCTCAGATATTAAATAACATTTTCACACCATTTTCAAAAAGAAATCATCATGGGAAAGCCAGGTATTGCAATTTTATATCGTATCTGTGTTTATTTTCGTAATTAATTATATATTATAGGATTTTCGCAGGGTGGTCGCGGCGGCGGCGGTGGTTTTGGTGGACGTGGTGGGGGTGGCCGTGGGGGCTTTGGAGGCGGAGGGGCTAGAGGCGGAGGACGTTCAAGTTTTGGAAGAGGAGGCGGCGGCGGGGGTCGCTCTAGCTTTGCAGGAGGAGGTCGTGGTGGACGAGGAGGCGGCCGTGGGGGAGGTCGTGGGGGCGGCAGAGGTGATGGATTGAAAGGGGGAAAAACAGTTGTAATTGAACCGCATCGTCATGAAGGAGTTTTTATTGCAAGAGGTAAAGAAGATGTTTTGGTGACGTTAAATCTCGTTCCTGGCTCAGAAGTTTATGGAGAAAAAAGAATTTCAGTAGAGGTAAAATTTGCAATGCAAGGGTGTTAGTTAAATTATAATATATCATATTTTTTTAAATTAATGCAATATAATATCAAAACATTATTTTCAGAATGACGGAAACAAAGTGGAGTACAGAGTATGGAATCCATTTCGCAGTAAACTAGCTGCAGCCATTCTTGGTGGGGTGGAATACATTCGCATGCCTATAGGCAGCAAAGTGTTATATCTTGGGGCTGCTTCTGGAACCACAGTGTCCCATGTGTCAGATATTGTTGGACCCGAAGGATTAGTATATGCAGTTGAATTTTCTCATAGGCCGGGTCGAGATTTAATAAATGTGGCGAAGAAAAGAACCAATGTCATTCCAATAATAGAAGATGCTAGACATCCACATAAATATAGAATGTTGGTGGGAATGGTTGATACAATATTTGCAGATGTAGCACAGCCTGATCAGGCGAGAATCGTGGCATTAAATGCCCAACACTTCTTAAAAAATGGTGGTCACTTTGTCATTTCTATTAAAGCACCATGTATTGATTCTACAGCAAAACCAGAGGCGGTGTTTGCTGCTGAAGTGGAAAGATTGCGGGCCGACAAATTTGTACCGAGACAACTAATTACGTTAGAACCTTATGAAAGGGATCATGCTGTAGTGGTTGGTACGTTTAGGTCACCGTCTTGAAACCAATGAAATAGTTGTAAATGTGTTTTCCATATTAAGGGAAAAAGTAGTTTAGTTATTACAAATTGTTTTATAATGTAAGATATAAAGTTTTTGTAACAAATTGAGTTTAATTTTAAAATTTCCATAAACTTAACTAAGCATTATTATTTGTGTTGTCAAATAACCGGCTATTTTCAAAAATAGTTTTAATAGGTGGATATTGATCTCGACATTTATCCGGTTAAAAATCTGGATTTTTATGAATATGAATTAAGTGATAGGTATTATATAGGTATTCACGAATATTTAATTTATTATTAAAATCTAAAAAAAAAAAACAAATTCTCTTTAGTTTTGTCGGCAAAAATACATAAACGACCTTGAACAAAAATAGAATTCTTAAAATTATGGAAACATTATTCAAAAGTTTAGTTTGTGTATTGTTTAAGTATATTATAGTTAGTTGGACAACGTAATACAAATTTTACTTTGCCTCGCCTAAATAGCGAGCTTTGGGACTAGGAATCCAGGGGGCGTGGTACAAATTTTTTGTCAACGGGCATTTTCATTACAGTTAGCCAACGTATTAGGTTTATTTTACTCTACATCAGATGCGCCATCAAACATTAGCATCTACTGAGTTTTATTTATATCAACCATTGTCAAAAAATTGATCGACCGTTGTTTCGACAGAATTTCCTTCGCACCTGTTGAGTATTAATTATTTTGTAAAGCGACCTTCAATGGTGAAATCAGACTAGGCCATGTTAGGGTAGAATGTAAGAGCTATAAGTTAAGTTGGTACTGTCAGAACTGGCAAGAAGAGAAGGGGAAAAGAAGGGCTTGTGTCAAACGCCGTATTGTGCGACGTCCTTTTTTTTTCATCTCGACCGTCGAGCAGACAAAATGTTCGGTCTGATAGTGTTTATTAAATAACAAAAGGCGCTTTTTGTTATCCAAATAAATTCATTTCTTATCCAAAGTTAATAAATTAATAACAGCACCAAAAGTACAGGGTCATTATAAAATACTGTAGTCAACTCACCTATGAAAAACAATTGAAATTTTTCTCGTGCCGCTAATCACCAAAATGATTTCAACTCTTTTGAAATGTCACGAACGTCGAAACAAATCTATCAAATGTGTCAAAAATTGATATGCCAGGTTTGCGGTTTAATTTCATTTTAAATAGACACGAAAATACGCCAGGCCAGAGCATTAAGGGTTGCAGTGTTATCGAGCATCGAGCATTTGTGAACGCCACTGCAATACATTTCAGTTTCAAAAATTGTAAATTGTCAGAAAAACGTTTAAGGGCTTTGTCATGAATTACACCTTGGAAAGTCGATTGGAGTTGAACAGAATAAATCATCTGGTCTGTTTTGCAAACAAGCAATAATTTTTCAAATAATGAAATCCAAAAAGTGAGGTTAAATTTGCCGAAACCAATGAACACGGTAATTAATTAAAAAATTACATTTTTATAGGTACCCTGAAGGTAAAAATTGTGAAAAATCACGTAATGGACAATGGCAGAGCAAGTCTTATCACAGTTAACGAACAGTACCACTGTTTTAAAATGACAATGAGTACCTAATGAGTTTTTGCAGTAAATAATTTTGCCAAAGTTGTGATCCCGCGAAAGTTCTGTTTGTAAATTGTAAAGAATCGTCAAAATATTGTACAGACATGGTTTGTGACCGGTGCTTTTCTCTTGAAAAAACACAACTGAAAGCCTTGATCTTCATCCCTACAATAGGTGAAAACTGCTATGTCCAAACATTACCTTCAGCTTTGCAGTTTCTAGATATCTGAAACATGCCAGATATGCATAACAGGAATGTCAAAGAGGTTCTACCCAAAACACCCCCACATGGCGATCCTAATATCAAGATTTTTCAAAATTTTTATAACAAAAAAGATGAAAAAACCAATAAAATTTCAGGAGCATAGTGTTAAGAGTTCTGTAGATGATTACGAGACCTCTTGAAACAACAGAATGTTTAATAAAGATTTTTAACGTTCCTAATAGTAAAATTACAATTATTACTAAACAGTAAGTTGAAATAAGTTTTAAAATAAGAGAATGCAACTAACACCGAAAGAAAAATGAAAGTTACTGAAAATAAAAAACTTTAATGCAGTACCTACATACACTTTCTACATTTAATTTTGTTTATTGATCACATTCATTTACTTGAAAACGTATCGGGCCTATGAATCGTCGTCTGGAAACAGCTAACCACACACCAATCTTCATTGCGTGTGATGGTGTTTCTTCAAAAGCGTGAGTATTTTCTATACACCAAATTCTGAAGTTCTGTCAGTTGACATAGCCTAACAGATGAAACCAGGCTGCAACAGAAAAAAACGACAAATTGGGAATCCCGTTATCGTCCATATCAGCTTGAAACCAACGACAATACCCAACGCGGCGAGGAAAATCAGCTGGTTGCAGCTCCTGAACCAACGAAATCTTGTACGGATGCATATGTAACTTCTGTTTTACGATTTTCTGACATGTGCTGTATGGTACTCCGGACAGGCAAGATTTTTGACAAAGCTTTATTCGGACTTTGTTCCATTCTCATCCTTAAATCTTCAACAACGTCTTCATTAACTTGAGGTCTCCCCGTCGGTTTTCACTTAGAAACGCTACCAGTGTCGTTAAATCTGGCCATAATTCGCCGTATAGCGTCTTCAAAGATTCTTCATCAATGACAACAGAACATTTCACCAGATACTCGTTTTTAGACGCCTCCACAGAGTACACTCCATCCCCATCCTCATTTAACACCCCATTAGGGTAATAGGGCATGATGATTGCTCCAAAGAACTAAAAAAATCATTTGTAACACTGACCATAGTTATTCCTTTGTGTTCATTACCTGAGATTATTCCACAATGATCTGCAGTTTTGATAAAAACTGTTTTTTTGAGACACTTATTAAAGTTCTAACAAAGGGGAAGACAGCAAAAATGAAAACAAGACAAGTCAATTAACGCACAAAATGTGGGAAAACGTGCCAGTAATCAGTACAAACGAAAAAATTTATTGACATCTGACAGAATTTGATGAAGCGTTGAAACAGTGCAGCCGCTAATGTCATACTAATGTGGCGTTAAAAATAAAAATTCCAATATTAGTGTAATTCTTTCCACAAAACTGAAAAAGGCGGCACACAATGTCACCAAAGTCATGGCCTTCTTCGACTACAATATTTTATAATGACCCTGTATAATGAAACATATTCAGCATTTTCAAGTTGAATCTTTTCTTCACACAATTTTGTGATGACCTAATCATCATTTACGATCAACACGTATACCACCTTGGATTGGTGCAGTGTAATACTAAAAATAACTGTATTGTATTCCCAAAATTATCTGCGAAAATCGAGTAAGCCGTTCCATCAATTTTAGGGGGGGAGTAAATAACTATTCTTAACATTTACCGTGCTTACAATAATTTTAAAACGTCTGCAAGATCTCAAAGTATTCATTTCTGCAACTTGAGTTATTCTCTAAAATAACTTGACTGATCCATACATTTTTTTGAGTCACTGTAAAAGCAAATCTAAAAAATATGAATGCAATGATAAATTACGAAAATATACTGATGATATTTTGCACATTTTAGATAGGATTTATTCGGCAAAATCTTGAGATGACGTCATCAAGTTTTTGGGCTTGATAAACAGATATATTTTGATTAAAAACCTACCATGTCAAACAGTAACTTCAAAACGTCTGCAATATTTCAAAATTCAGTTTTGCAATTCTTGATTCAATCAATAAAATAAATTGACTCAGTGATTAATTTTTTTGAGACACCTCCTATAAGCAAAACTAAAAAATATGTATGGAATGATAAATCAGAAGTATAGTCTCATCCTATTTTGGACATTTTAGATAGGATTCATTTGGCAAAATTTTGGGCTGACGCCATCAATTTTTTGGAGGAAATAAGTAAATATATTTTGAATAAAAATTTATTATGCTTATCATATGTTTAAAACATCTGCAAGATTTCAAAGCATTCGGTTTTGCAGATTCAAAATTAAATTGTAGGTGAAACGAAGTTCACAGGTCAGCTAGTTAAAAACATATTTAGAGCAGGTGTTGGAATTAAGTAGGCAACCAAATATACTTCAGAGCATGGATGGGTACATCATTACTATCTTAATCACAGTATAGATAAGACATCAATTGATATCTATACTGTGATCTTAATTACAATAAAATGACATTTGACGTTAGAGCGCAGAGATCAGTTCAATCAATTAAAAAAATATTGCTGAGAAATATCGTAAAAAAAGCACCACTGGATGTTTTCTTTTCAAGTTTTTTGACTCATAACCATCGCTTGAAAATTCGCACATGGACAAAGCATCACTTTTTACAGGCCGCAGAGTCATTAAATGTTTGTCAGTGATACAATTTGTTTAGATAATAATGTGTTTATTAAAATCAAAATATACCACAAATTAAAGCAAAATACGTCGAATAATTTTAACAGGAATATCAGACGAAAATTACTGATCTATTGCTTAGCAGAGTTTTTAACAAAAACTAACAATTATTGAAAAAAAATGGGTATCAATTCGACAGAATTTGAGCCGTTAGTTGAGTACTTTGCCGATAGGAGCGCCACTAAAATTTACGGAAGCAACTTTCCAGGTAAAACCCTTATCGCGTGGTCTACCATAAGCTGATTGTTAGCGTTCTCGGCTGATTTTTCTAATTTATGGCAAGGAACTTAGTTTTATAACAAGCCGCCAGGACCGGTTGTTAAGGAAATTAACTTTTACGCAATGAGGTACTATCATAAAACCGACTTAAAACTGGGGAACTATAATATTTTTACTCCACTCACGATCCTGAATTCAGTACATATGATTACGATTACTAAAAATTCATTGTAATATTATTGTTAATATATATTTGCTTTCTTAATTAATAAAACTAATAAACATATTTATAATAATAATAATGATAGAAGTCTTGCCTGAATGCCGGTCATTTCCGGGTCAGTGGTGGGTCTTAATAATAATAATAAAAAATATATAAAATACAGCTTTTGTTTAACACGTATAAGTAGTTAAGTGTATCTACTACTTA